GGGTCAAAGGTCAGGCTGCAGGTGTGTCGTGTTTTCCTCAGCGATCCCGCGTGGAAGCTGAAGATCTGACGCTGTTTCAGGGTTTTAGAGGCGATACTAGCTAAAGAGAGCTGCAGTGAACCTGGACTGTTTTCAGCAAAGCAGACCTCAGCTCTGGAATTTTGGATTCTTGTTTAAAATAACTGAATTCTGACTCCTGTGTGGATTTCACAGCTGCCTCCCCCCAAGTTGCTGATTTCTTTGGGTCACCCCCCCATATTTATCATGACTTCAAGTTTCAGATCATGAATCAAATTGTAATATAAGACAAAGATAACAAGTAATTAAAAAAAAGCTGTTTTTAAATTACGGTTTTATTTATTAGAGACAAAAGTTACCAAAACTGAATCCACACTTCATGCAGAAACTCAGATGGGATCTTCTCTTTGGTCAGAAAAATGGTTCTTGAATTTCTTTTGTAACTGTAGACTGCAAAACAACTGGAGACATGAGATGAAAACAGTGCAAAAAACTCCATTGTGTGGAAAACTGGTGACAAAAAGTGGCCAACAGGAAACGCAAATATGATGATGAAAACAGTATAGCTCAGCAGAAACAGCAAAGATGAAGGAAAAGAGAGAAAATGGGAAGTACAAATAGTTCACAAGGAGTAAAAATATGCAACGAAAAGGGAAAACATCACAGCTGTTTCATTGCATAGATGTAAGAGGTCGAAATCACTGCACCAACTTGCAGGTATACAGAGAGCCTGTTTGTTGACCCCTCTCAGAGGAATATTTCTGCTATTTGTTGAATCGCTTCACACTGACCTCTGAATCATTCAAGCATAAAACAGGGATGAACCAGTGTTGTGACAACTTAGTAAAGAACCAATTTTAAATTGTATCTTTAGGCCAAAGATATAATAGATCGAAAGGCACACGCCGCACATATAGTATGTAAGTAATATACATTTAAATCTAGTATCTTTCAAATCAGCTTTATTGGTCGACTAATATTTTTTCTATATTGGCAAACCAGTCATTTTATGACATCAGCAAACACACACGTTCGTACCATGGTACAGCTGCTGGTTTTACAATCCTGCAGAGCGTGCGTGATGAATGCGGGTGCTAAGATCAGGTATGCACGATAACACTAAATCTCAAATTACAAACACACAGCAGTGTGCTAATTGTGTACTGACAGGGACTAGAAAGAGAAAGTATATTTCTTCTATATTGGCTTCCTGTTAAATCCAGAATTGAATTTTAAATCCTGCTCCTCACAAACGTCTTGAATAATCAGGCCCCATCTTATCTTAATGACCTTGTAGTACCATATCACCCTATTAGAGCACTTCGCTCTCGCACTGCAGGCCTACCTGTTGTTCCTAGAGTATTTATAAGTAGGATGGGAGGGAGAGCCTTCAGTTTTCAGGCCCCTCTTCTGTGGAAACAGCTTCCAGTTTGGATTCGGGAGACAGACACTATCTCTAGGTGACCCTGAATCCTCCCTTAGTTATGCTGCAGTAGGCCTAGACTGGTGGCGACTTCATGCTCTGAGTGTATCTTCCTCAGTCACCTTTCTCACTCACTATATGTTAATACACCTCTCTGCATCGAATCATTACTTGTTATTAATCTCTGGTGGCAAACCTGACCTGGTTCTGCTGGAGGTTTCTTCCTCTTAAAAGGGATTTTTTTCCTTTCCACTTTCACCAAAGTGCTTCCTCTTAGGGGGTCCTAGGATTATTGGGGTTTTCTCTGTTACCTTACAATATAAAACTGAACTGACTTGATCTGAATTCTAAGAAACAGAGAAGAAGTTTACTTGATGTGTTTGATTTATTTCAGTGAAACGTTGTTTTTTTGCTGAGCCAGTTTAACGTTTCCATAAAAGCAGTCAGTTTCTCAGGAGTTGCTTAACGCAGTTGGGTGGAACCACATTACACAACTTCTTAAATAAAAACTAAAGATGATTCTTTAAACCAGCAACAGTGAGTGTATGCAATTTACAGTCCATGTCAGCACATTTGAAGCTCTATTATGAAACCTCATGTATAAATTTGTTTGCAGGCTCAACACTTTTGAGAACGGGATCATCATGGGCCTGATGGATATCAGGTTAATGTTATCGGTTTTTATTATGGAGAGATTTATTTAACTTGTTTTTTGTGTTGTGTGACTTATTTTTGGCTTCTGGAATAAATAAAGAATGATTATTTTTCTTTTAAACTTTTTATGTGCTAAAGGTAGCACTGTGGTGCAGCTGTTCTGGCTTTTGCATGAGTTTCCTCCATCCAAAGATGTAGCTGAAGGTTAGATTCGGTGTATCCTATGTAGGCTGGATGGATGGCACTTCTGATCAGCTCTATCTAAACACCAATCAGTCTCAAGACGACTCAGAATCAGAAGTGTTTTGGGGTGAAAATGCTGAGTTGACAATGAGGCGATCTGTCACTTGACACAACTGTTAAAGCAGAATCAAGGTCCTACGCTTAAAAAAGCACTTTTTTAAAAAATGTTTTGTACCTCTCAGAAGGAGTTTTTAAAAGCAGAATGGGAGGCACAGCCTTCAGCTTTGTGGCAACACCTCCCAGTTTAGATTTTGGGAATTTGCACTTTCTCTACTTTTGAAATTATGCTTGAAACTTTCCTTTTTGATAATG